TTTAATTCTGATTTATTATCAATTCTAATATATTTATTTCACACTAGTAAATAGAAATACATTTATTCTGATTTTTAAATATTAAAGTTATAATACATTATGTTTTATTATAAATTTAATAAACTGATTCTCCTTTTTGTAGTATTAAGATTATGATAAATTCTGATTTCTTATAAAACTTAATGAATTTATTATGATTTATTATAAAATTTAATAAACATTTTGTGATTTTAATAAATATTTTAAAAATACTAACTAGTTAATATTTTATTACTTGAAAAATATTTTATGTTTTATATTGTAAAGTAATTAATTTATTCTTTTGTTTTTATTTTTTGTTAATTCTTTTTTATAAGTATTTTATTTGAAATATTAAATAGAAATTATTAATGGAATAATTTATATTAGTATATTGTATTATATTAATATAATATATATATCATATTATTAATGTACATTACTCGACATCCTATCAACATAATAGGAAAAACTGTCATTTTTTTGGTTATTTGGACCGGTTTGGTCGACATTTCCGAAATATAGGAAATGTCAACCGAAATAATGTAACTTTTATATTACCATCCATTTTCATGTCGGTGAGCCTCGACATCGACATATGTCGGGCGACTTTAGCAAAATTTCGCGACATTTGAAACCATGCTCCTAGAATCTCAGCCCTGAAGGAATCTCCCACCCCAATCGGACCAGAATACATGGCTAACAAATTCCCTTTTTCATCCCTTATCACTCTCCCTACTTCGGAGGGCCTTGGATTGCCTATGTTGCCACCATCAAAATTCAGTTTGGTAAACCCATGAGGTGGAGGTGTCCAGCAGGAACTTAAGGTATTCTTAATTGAGCCTGAATCTACAATCTCCTTCCAGTTTCTTATCATCTCATCAACTGAAACACTTTAAACAATTCCAATGTTCTCAACCAATGTATCATCCTAATGTGGATAGTCTCCAGGATTACTTCCAAACTTCTCTCCTTATTTGAGAATATCCTTGAGTTTCTCTCCTCCCAAGCAGTCCAACACACCGCAGCCCTACCACATATCCACATGATCTTGGCCCTTTTGGTTGGCCAGTTAGGCATGGAATGGAAGTAAATAAGCTTTGCACATTCAAAGGGGGAGTCCACCTGCACCCAAACAGAGAAGTAAACCATTCCCAAATAACTTTAACAAATTGACAAGAAGTTAGTAAATGGTATCTAGACTCACCATCAGATTTGCAGAGAACACACCAGTGAGGAGACAAACAACTGTTGGGTCTTTTTATTTGAAGTAGATCCCCTACATTAACTCTTTCCAGAAAGGCTTCCCAACAGAAACTCCCAACCTTTGGAGGTATAGGTCGACACCACACTTCTTTAACAGGGAAAGACAATCCGATAGAAGGAGGGGGTAAAAGGGCTTTAAAGAAAGAGGCATAAGTGTAGGAACCCGAGGGAGTGAGTATCTATACTCTATTATCTGTCTTTGATGGTTCAACGAAGACCCCTTCAAGAATGGATAATAAGGCTAAAGTACATGCTAACTCGGTGTCCTTGACATCTCTTCTCAAGCTCAAGTTCCATCCAAACCCAGAAGGTGAATTAGAAGGAACAAGAAAAGAGGAAATCGGTTCATTTTTAAGGGTAGAAATAGTAAAAAGGCCTGGAAATTGATCTTTCAAAGAGGAATCTCCAACCCAAACATGTTCCCAAAACTTAATGAGGTTACCTGAGTGCAAGTCGTACCTGATCCATGGAGAGAACAAGGGCAAGATGGCTTGAATAGCTTTCCAAGGAGAAGCTCTTATAGTCCTTGCTAGAATCTCAGAGTCCCATTCATTGTCTACCAGCCCATGTGTACTTCCCAATATCTTAACCCACAATCTTTCTTTCTCCAATGAAAATCTCCACAACCATTTCCTTAGTAATGCTAAGTTCCTAATCCTTATGTTCCCACTTCCCAAACCTCCCTCCTTCTTACCCTTACATAACACCTCCCACCTGACCTTATGATCCTTCTTCTCCTCCCCCGACTCCCAAAGAAAATCTCTCATTAGTTTTTCCAGCTTGCTAGCCACCTTGGCTGGAATCTTAAAGACTGATAAAAAATAGACAGGAAGGTTAGCTAGAGTAGACCTAATTAAGGTGATTCTCCCTCCAAGAGACAAATAATTTTTCTTCCAGTTGGCAAGTCTTGTTTCAAACCTCTCCACAACAAGGGCCCAAAAATCACCTTTCTGAGGATTATCCCCCAGAGGTAAACCAAGGTAATTTAAGGGCCAATTAGAAACTACACACCCCAAAATGTCTGCATGCTCACCAACCTCCCCTTCCCCCATATTGACTCCAACTATACAACTTTTCTCAAAGTTCACCCTAAGGTTTGACATTTGCTCAAAAAGTTGTATAGTGAGCTTCAAGTTTCTAATCCTATCGATATCCCCTCCTTCACAAAACAGAATTGTGTCGTCTGCAAATTGTAGGTGTGTAAGTGGTATATTTTCTCTTCCAACTCTCCAACCTTATTAACTCCCTAGAATCTACTTTGGATATTAGTCTCCCCAACACTTCCGCAACCAATGTAAACAAAAAAGGGGATAGGGGGTCTCCTTGTCTAATCCCTCTCAAAGCTGGGAAATAGTCCACCACTGTCCCCCCCATTCACCAAAATAGAATAATAACAATCCCTAATGCAATCCATCACCCATTTGCACCAGATGTCTCCAAACCTAAAGTTAATCATCACCTCCAATAGGAAGGACCAATCAACCAAGTCATAAGCCTTTTCCAGATCTAGTTTACAGACCACACCTCTTCTCCCGAATCTCTCATAGTCCTCTAGACTCTCATTTGCTACAAGTATCTGACCTATTATCTGCTCCCCTTCATTTGCTATGATTGTTGGGAGCACCTTCCTAATTCTAAAGGACAGCACCTTAATGATGATCTTATAAAGGCTATTTACTAGACTGATCGGCCTGTAATCCTTTGAATAACTTGCATCACTT